CTTACCTTCTTATTCTATAAGAGAAAATAATATTAATGGAGCAAAATAATGGATGCCCTTAATTTCATTTCACTATACATATATGTGGTTATATTCTTATTTATATTTAAGACAAAGGGTGTAATATTTTAAAACTTGGGTCTCATTAATTAGTCGATAGGTGCCATTACAGGCCCAGAGCTTAATGGACCGGCAAAATTGAGTGGGAGGAGGGAAAGATAAATGGGGAGAACAAAAGAGCACTTATAGTGGGGTATAATACAGTTGTTTTCTGTAGTATATGAGACTTATGCTGTGTGTTCCCTAACCTAGTTATCTTTTCATTGTGGAAAAATATATAACATAAAACTAACCATTTTACCCATTTTATGTGTATAATAAAGAAGCATTAAGTACATTGACATTGTTGTAAAATTACCACTATTTCCAGAATTTGTCAGCATCCCAAACAGAAACTCTAAACCTTTAAGCAGTAACTCCCCATACCCTTCTCCCCCTAGCTCCCAGTAACTTCAGTTCTACTTTTTGTCTCTAAAAATTTGCCTATTGTTGCTACTTCATATCAATGGAATCATATAATATTTGTTCTTTTGTATCTATTTTGTTTTACTAACTGAACTATTTGCATGGTTCTTCTATGTTATAGCATGTGTCAAAACGTCATTCCTTTATGACTGAATAATATTCTACTGTATGTATATGCTACATTTTATCAATACATCTGTTCATAGACAGATGAGTTGTTTCAACTTTCTGGATATTGAATAATGATGCTATGACATTTATGTACAGTATCTGTTTGAGTCCCTGGTTTTAGTTTTTTATGCATATACCTAAGTGTGTTAGAGTTCTCCAAAGAAACAGAACGTGTGTGTGTGTGTGTGTGTGTGTGTGTGTGTGTGTGTGAAGAAAGAGATTTATTATGAGGAGGTGGCTCACTGCATTATGGAAGCTGAGAAGTTTCATGATATGTCATATGTAAGCTGGAGACCCAGGAAAGCCAGTGGTGTAATTCTGGTCCAAGTCCTCAATCTGACGTCTTGAGAACCATGAGCACTGACAGTGTAAATCTCAGTTCAAGGACAGGAGAAGATTAGTGTCTCAGCTCAAGCAGACAGACAGGAAGCAAAAGGGATGAATTCCTCCTTCTTCTGCCTTTTTGTTTTGTTCAGGCCCCCAAATGATTTGCCAATTCTCACCTGCATAGGGGAGGTGGTAATCAACATTACTGAGTCTACCAATTAAAATTCTAATCTCATCCTGAAACACTCTCATAGACACACCCAGAAATAATGGTAAATCTGGGCACATCTTTGCCTACTCAAGTTGATACATAACCATCATATTAGGGATGGAATTATGGGGTCATATGGTAATTCTGTGTTTATTTTCTGAGTAACCACCAAACTGTTTTCTATGGGGACTGCATCCTTTTATATTCCCCCCAGTAACATACAAGTGTTCCTATTTTTCCACATCCTCACTAACCTGTGTTATGTTCCACTGTTTTGAAAATAGGCATTCTTCTGAGTGTGAGAGAGTATTTTATGGTGGATGCTATTGTAAATTGAATAGTTTTTCAAATTTCCTTCCTATTCATTGCAACTGCATAAAACTGCAACTGATTTTTGCATGTTGATTATGTATCCTTTAATTTTGTTGAATTCATTTATTAGCTTTATCTGTTTTTTTGTGGATGATTTAGTGTTCTCTACATATAAGATCATGTCATCTGTGAGCAGAAATACTTTTACTTCTTCCTTTCCTATTTACATGGCTTTTATTTCTTTTTTGCCTAATTGCTCTTGATCATGGTGTATAATCCTTTCATTAGGCTGCTGAATTCAGTTTGCTAGTATTTTTTGGAGGAATTTTACATTCATTCATAAGGGATATTGGCCTACAGTTTTCTTTTTTTGGTAGTATATTTGACCAACCTCCTTAACAGGGTAATGATGGCTGCATAGAAAGAGATAGGAAGTTTTCCCATCTTCGTTTTTTGGGTAAAGTTGAGAAGGATTGGTGTACATTCTTTAAATATTGATAGAATTCATCAGTGAAGCTATTGAGTCCTATGCTTTTCTTCATGTGGAGGTTTTTGATTACTGATTAAATCTACTTACTTGTTATAGATCCATTCAGATTTTCTATTTCTTCTTGAGTCCATTTTAGTAGTTTGTATATTTCTAGGAATTAGTCCATTTCTTCTAGGTTATCCAATTTTTTGGTATATAATTGTTCATAATTTTCTCATAGTTTTTTATTTTTATGAAGTCAATAGTAATGTCCACTTTTATTTCTGACTTTAATTACTAGAGTTTTTCTTTTACTTTAACTCATCAATCTAGCTAAAGGTTTGTGGATTGGTTTTTGTTTGTTTTGATCTTTTCTAAGAACCAACTTGATATGGTTTGACTGTGTCCCCCCCCCCCAAATCTCAACTTGAGTTGTATGTTGTGTCCCCACCCAAATCTCAACTTGAATTCTATCTCCCAGAATCACCATATTGTGGGAGGGACCCAGGGGGAGATAATTGAATCGTGGGGGCCTGTCTTTCCTGAGCTATTCTCGTGATAGTGAATAAGTCTCATGAGATCTGTTGGGTTTCTGCTTTCGCTTTTTCCTCATTTTCCTTTGCCACTGCCATGTAAGAAGAGCCTTTCACCTCCCACCATAATTCTGAGGTCTCCCCAGCCATGTGGAACTGTAAATCCAGTTAAATCTTTTTTTTTCTTTTTTACGACAGAGTACTGCTCTGTCACCCAGGCTAGAGTGCAATGGTGTGATTTTGGCTCACTGCAATCTCCACCTCCTAGGTTCAAGAGATTCTCCTGCCTCAGCCTCCCAAGCAGCTGGGATTACAGGCACCTGCCATTATGCCTGGCTAATTTTTGTATTTTTGTATTTTTGAGGTGGAGTTTTACCCTGTTGGCCAAGATGGTCTTGAAATCCTGACCCCAGGGGATCTGCTGACCTCGGCCTCCCAAAGTGCTGGAATTACAGACATGAGCCACTGCACCTGGCCTTAAACCTCTTTTTCTGCCCAGTCTTGGGTATCTCTTTATCAGTAGCATGAAAATGGACTAATATACGACTTTTGGTTTGGTTTTATTAATTTTCTCTATTGGTTTACAGTTTTCCTTTTCTTTTTTTTTTTTCTTTTTTCGAGACAGAGTCTCACTCTGTTGCCTAGGATGGAGTGCAGTGGTGCAATCTCAGCTCACTACAGCTTCAACCTCCTTTGCTCAAGTGATTTTCCCAAATAGCTGAGACCATGGGCATGATCCACCATGCCTGGCTAATTTTTTTATTTTTTTGTAGAAACAGGGTTTGCCATGTTTCCCAGTCTGGTCTTGAACTCCTAGGCTCAAGGGATCCGCCTGCCTCAGCCTCTCAAAGTGCTGGGATTACAGGCATGAGCCACCACATTTGGATGGTTTAATTTGTCTATCTTGTTTTTCTCTAATCTTTGTTTCCTTCCTGCTATTAGCTTTGGCTTTAATTTGCTCCTCTTTTTCTAGTTCCTTAAGATGTACAGTTAGGTGATTGTTTTGAAATCTTTTTTTTTAAATGTAGGTATTTACTGCTATAATTTTCCCTCTTAGCACTGCTTTCACCGCATTCCATATGTTTTGATACGTTGTGTTTGTATTTTCATTCCTCTCAAGGTGTTTTCTAATTTTCCTTGTGATTCTTTCTTTGAGCCATTGGTTGCTTAAGACTCTATTTATCAATTTCTGCATAACTGAGGATTTTCCACTTTTCCTTCTGTTATTTCTTTCTAGATTCATTCACTTCTGATCACAAAGATACTTTGTATGATATTAGTTTTTATAAATGCATTAGGTCTTGTTTTGTGGCCTGACATGATTATCCTGGAAAATCTTTTATGTGCACTTAAGAAGAATATACTTTTTGCTTTTGCTAGGTGGATGTTTTGTATAAGCCTGGGAGGCTTTTAAACAACAGAAATTTATTTATCACTATCTTGGAGGCTGGAGGTCCAAGTTCAGGATGCCAACATGGTTGGGCCCTCTTCTGGGTTGCAGACTGCTAACTTCTCATTGCATGTTTACATTGTGGGAAGAAAGCAAGCTAGTTTTCTGGCCACTTCCTAAGAGGGAACTAATCCTATTCCTGGGGGCTCCACTCTTATAACCTAATTGACCCCCAAAAACACTGCCTTTAAAGATAGTCACATAGAGGATTCGATTTTAGCATAAGGATTTTGGAGGGACACAAACATTCAGTTCATAGAAGTCATCAAATTTGAGCATGCATACAACTTCATGAGTTTTGCTTGATTCTCCATTAACGGTAGCAATGTATTGTGTACTTAAATGTAGACATTGTAGGCTGGGTGCGGTGGCTTACACCTGTAATCCTAGCACTTTGAGAGGCCAAGGTGGGTGGATTGCCTGAGCTCAGGAGTTCGAGATCAGCCTGGACAACATGGTGAAACCCCGTCTCTACTAAAATACAAAAAAAAAAAAAAAAAGAAATGTAGACATCATAGATCATGGAAGATTTTATAAGAGCCAGGTGTAATTTATAAGATTGAAGATGATTCCAGGTTTTTAAAAATTATGAATAGTAGAGTTGATAATTTCTTTTGAGTATTATTGTACGTACACATTCTACATAGTACTTTTCTGTTTTTAGTTTAGATTGACAAATTATTATGACCGAAAATAAAGATTAAATATTATTCTATATGCTTAAGTCCCAGAAGTTTACTTAATTTTGGAATACCACTTATATAATATTTTTATTCAATATGTATATACTATATTATACAGAAACCAAATAAGTTTATACATTTTATTCACAATTTATTGTAGTTCATTTTAGGTCAAATTTTGGAGAGAAGGGAGAATACTCTGGTACTATAACAGAACCACAATCAGAAATTTACTGTCCTAGTTAATCACTTTCATAATTGATAATGCATGTTAAAAGTTCTAATACTAAAGCACTAAATTTTTATACTTTTTTTTTAGAACCTTGTGAAACATCTCCCTGAGCAGAAGGTACTCAACGAATTAGCAGAGCTTAAGGATGAATATGATGACCTCTGTGAACCTGAACAATTTGGAGTTGTGGTATGTATCCAGCAAGGGACCACAAACTCAGCTGGGAGGTTAACACTTGTCAGAAACAGTGAAAGGAAAGACATTTCAGTTGTCAATTTTTTTTTGTTACTGTATTGCTACATAATTTAATATAATGTCGGCTGTCAGAAAAAAATCCGTTTTTACCTATTATTATTATTTTTTATTTATTTTTATGGTTTGAAGATGGAGTCTCGCTCTGTCACCCAGGCTGGAGTGCAATGGCGTGATCTCAGCTCACTGCAACCTTTGCCTTCCGGGTTCAAGCCATTCTCAAGCCTCCCGAGTAGCTGGGATTACAGGCACTTGCCATCATGCCCAGCTAATTTTTGTATTTTTAGAGACAGGGTTTCACCATGTTGACTAGGCTGGTCTTGAACTCCTGACCTCAGATGATCCGCCCACCTCTGCCTCCCAAAGTGCTGGGATTACAGGCGCAAGCCACCATGGCTGGCCCTTTTTTACTTATTATTATTTGTCATGGTATTGAAAAATAATGAAATATTCACATTCATAAAATACTTCAAGATATCTCAGGGGATCTTTTGTGTAACAGTGCCAATTTTTAGTTCTATTAATATATGCAAACAGTATACAATATTATTATATGGGCTATTTTTCCTTCCATTTAGATCTTACTGTTAGAATTTGGCCCCTAAAAACAGGTTAAAATAAAAGGGTAATTACTAGATGATTAGCAAAGTACTAGAGACTTTGCAAGGGTATATATTGTGTCATAAAAAGTGCAGGGATTTTCAGATTTCCTATTAGTCAATTAGAGTGTCATTAATTGATTTAAAGCTTGAAACATGCTGTTTTAGCTGGGAAGAAATCTTATAAATATACATCATGTCTTTAAATCATCATGTAGTTAAATTGTTATTAAGATCAATTAGTTTTTCTTATCCCTCCTTCATATTAAAGGGTACAAAAGATGAGTAAGTATATATTATGAATTCAAGAATATAATTACATTTTAAGTATTCCCTAAACTGACTATTCGAATAGTTAACAAAAAACAAACGAACAAACAAAATGGCAGGAAAGAGGGCATCATGATTTATTTAATTTTTTGGAGAAAAAGCTGTTTTTTACTTAGGTATTCAGTGCAAGTTTGTTTGCTGTATGAATAAATAGTTACATTATGGTCGCCAGCTTTACCCTGGCTCCCCGAACATTTCTATTTGCATACTAAGAATTGTAAAATTACTGTTGGACCTAATAGTCAAACATTTTCAGCTTTATCCAAAAATTTTTATAAGCTTTTAAATAGTATAATATGTTAGAATTGATCTAATTTGATACTTTCCAGTTTAAAAATCCTGTTTAAAATCAAACTGTGCTAGATGAGACTGAGAATTTTCCTTTGAACATGTGCAATAAATGCTCACCCATATTTAGAGTTTATTAATTTTGACATAGGGCGTTGACTACACTTATGTAGAAGGATTCTGTCAAATTCTTGCAAAGAAAATCAGGAATGTATATTTGGGATCAGATAGAGCATATAATGGTATCTGAGAAAGGTATTTCTCTTATTTTTGAACAAGGTGAATTAATCAGCTGAATTCGATAGCTATCATTTGTTAACTAAAAGCAATTTAGCACAACATTGGGTAATACAATTACTTAGACCAAAGTCCACACGTGAAGCCTAAGCTGCTTCGATTCATATTATAATTGAAGCAAGGCTATATACCCCCTGAGAATTCAGCTGTGTCATGATGGTTATGAGTTTTACAGTAGGTATACTACACAATTTCTCTCAAGCCATTTTTTTTTTCTGAATGCAGTTATCTTGGAAGATGTATTAGTTTGCCAAGCAGGTCCTTTCAAGAGGCATATCCTTGGTACCACACTGAGGAAATGAAGTTTGGGGACATAAAAAGCAATATACCTTCTGAACTAAAAGCAAAATAGAAAATGGAAGAGATTTCTTGTTTATGCACATAACCATAAATAATTCTGAGGCTGTGTGTACATGAAGTAACCTAGTCCCCTTATTTACTCTCACCATTCTTAGCTATATGTCTGTGGGGAAAAAAGTCAAGGACATTACAAACTAGTTTACCCTATATAAATGATCAAAGAAAGTATCATTCAGGATTTGCCCAATAATGTTTGGCAACATTCACATCAAGGAAATATTTTTTAAATAATGGTATACTTTAGTCTTTGCAGTGTTTCAAACAATATCATGTATAAAATAGATGGTAAATAAATGTTTATGGAATTGAATTACAGGACAATTATTAAACCTAAGGAGCTTGAAATTGGAAAGCAGTATAATTTAAATCTGTAACAATAGAAATTTTGCTAAAATGTTTTTCTCTGGGTGTATGCTGAAATTCAATTCACTTGTGTGTGTAAGCACCCAAAAACTTTTTAACCCTTAAACATCTCAACAGTCTAATGTGAGGACAATTTTGGAAACTGCATAATAGAATCATCTGCAGTAATGAGAGAGACTCCAAACTGGAGAGGCTCGTTGCCTCTGCTCACTTCTCTTGTTAACGTTATTAGTGTATTTATCACATGATTCTATATCAAAAACCTCCAGTGTCTCCTTGAATTTACAGAATGAAATCCAAGCTCCTTCGCATTCTCATTGTGCCTCTGTCTTGCTTTTTTCATTTCTGTTCCCTTTGGTGAAGTGAGTCAGTTGGTATCTTTTTGACATTTTAGCCTTTACCTCAATCAGACTCTCATTGCTATTTTAACAGCTATTTCACTCTCTCCCTGTTCAGCATACTTTCATTTTTCCATAATGGCCATACCATACCTTTCCTGCTCTCTTCAAGTCTTCTGTCTCCTCCCCATTCTTTTAACTTACCACAAACATCCTAACCTGTTACTTGCCAGAGAAAAAAAGAAAGCATTTTGACTTCAGAACCTCCAATATCTCTTCTACCTACAAAATTTTCTCCAGCTATATATCTTTTACTTACTCATTTTCTGTCAATCCTCAGAAAAAGAGAAGCTCAATTATCATTACCATTATTGTTGTTGCTATTAGAATGGACAGAAACAAAAATATTGAGGACTTACTGTGTCAGATTCTGAGAAGCATTTTTGCTTGCACCAACTTTTATATTCCTCAAGACACCCCTACGAGTTTGGCACTATTAATGACTCCATATTAAGGACAAGGATGATGGGCGCTGTGGCTCACTCCTGTAATACCAGCAATTTGGGAGGCCGAGGTGGGAGGATCACCTGAGGTCAGGAGTTTGAGACCAGCCTGGCCAGTATGGTGAAACCCCATCTCTACTAAAAATACATAAGTGAGCTAGGTATGGTGGTGCATGCCTGTAATCCCAGCTACTTGGGAGGTTGAGACAGGAGAATCTTGAACCTGGGAGGCAGAGGTTGCAATGAGCCGACATTGGGCCACTGCACTCCAGCCTGGGCCACAGAGCAAGACTCTTTCTCAAAAAAATATATAAATAAATAAAAAGAAGAGGGAACTGGGCCCAAGGAAGGCTAGTTTGCTTGTCCAAAGTTACATAGTAACTAGTAGTCACAGAATTCAAATATGAGCAGTCTGAATTTGTAGCCAGTGCTTTAGCCACAGTGCTCCTGGGTTGTGGGTATGTGTGTGTGTGGATGTTATACTCTACTACATTCTCATCTTCTCATTTCAGTTTTGGGCATTATTATGCACTGCCTACTTTAGGTGGTAGTATCTCTTGCTTGCTTTCCTTCTCTTAGTTATTTTATTACTTCCTCAATTTGTCAGTTTTCACTCTGCCCTCATCTTCAAAAAAAAAAAAGACATCTTTAGTCATTCGCTTCCTAGAAAGGAATGGATAGATGGGTGGATGGATGAATAAAAATCCCCTGACTGAGGTTTCTGCTTGCTCCCGCCTTCTCTCCATTTCCTAGCATCAGATTTTTTCAAAGATCAGTCTCCTCTTCCTCCTCCTTCCTGAACTCTAAATCACTGTTCAACCAATGGCAATCAGAATTCTGCCTTAAATAATGCATTGAAATTGAACTAGGAAAGGCCCTTAAATAACTCCTGTTCACATCTGAAATACACATCAAATATACTCACTTCTCTCCATCTCCATCGCCACCACCTTAGCCGAAGGCAGCAGCATCATTGCAATTAACTATCACATGTACATTTCTCTTGTTTTTCCCACTTACGCTTTTGCCCTTTTCCAAATCAGTCTCAGCACAACCCTTAGTATGCTATTTCTAGAGTGTATCTGTATTGCATCATAATTTTTATCTGCTTAAAATACCAGTGCCGTTCTATAGCAGTAAAGCTATAGCATTAACTTCTTACCATGACCTAGAAGACACTATCTGGTCTGGCACCTGCCCACCTCTCCTACTTTTATCACCTGCTATCTGGCCTCTTGCTCATTATGCCTCAACCACATTTTATTTTTGAACTTACTATGCTCTTTCCTGCTTAGGACCACTGCACATGCTGCTGCTTTACTCCTGCTTGCTGCCTCCCTCTCTCTTGTTATACTTCAAGTCATAGCTAAACTTTGCTTTCCCAGTGGTACCTTCAGTTGCCTATCAGTCAGAAATAGATATACCTACTAAAGTCTCCCAGATTACCATTTTTCTTTTCCTTTCTAGAAATTATCATGGTTTTTAATTAAATGTTGATTGATGAGGTTACTTCTTGACTGCTTATAACCCCAACTATATTGCAAGTTCTATACATAGATGAATCATAATCGTGTTGATTTTATTCATGTATGCTTAACAAATACTTCTTGAACACATTTGCTTGAATGGAAAATCAAGTGGACTCTTTCAGTACTATCTTATTCTGTATCTGTATGGCATTTGATAACATCAACAAATTTAATCTCCTTTTAGAAATCTTTCCTTTCCTTCTTAAACAATAAATAGTATTTCCTAAGATTTTTTTTTTAAGAGGCAGGTTCTCTCTGTCCCCTAGGGTGGACTGCAGTGGCAAGATCATACCTCACCTGCAGCCTCAAACTCCTGGGCTCTAGTGATCC